GGGATGTCTAGTCAGTAATATCATAGCAGTCTCATGCTCCTGGCATTTTCGGGCATGACCAGGTTCAGAAAGTTATCTCTGTTAGCAGTCTGTTTGGGTTCCTGTGGTTAGGTGGACATTGACCAGTGAATGTTTTGGAGAATCCAGAAAGCCAACTGTAAACCTCATTGATTTCACCATTAGGAGAGGAAGGGAGAGCAAGATAGCAGATCAGCAGACATTTTTTACTTTTGCTGCATTTTCCGTGGAAGGGGGAGTTTATGAAAATTTGTTCTGCTCTGTCCTGTTTTTACTGTAACATCGGCTCTTGCTATTCCAGATGTGCACAAATCTAGGCACATTTTGGGGTGGATAAATTATAGGACACCATTTAATTGATGTTGTACAGGCACAGCAGGATACATGAAAAAATCAACAGTGTGAGTAATCTAAGTAGACTTCCTTTTTTAATTTTAAAATGAAACAGTGTTTAGTTGTGGGGTTAGTACTTGAATGGGTGATCACTTGAGCGTATCTGGTATTCTGTGCTTGTTCCCTGTCTGTAAATAGGCAAAGGCTGCTTTCTTTGTGTGGGTTTTGGTTTTTTGTTTAAAAAAAAAAAAGGTTTTGTGAGCGTATCTTGACTGGTGGTCAATTATAGGAGACCTGGATTTGATTCTTTTTCCTATTATCTCACTTAACGGAGTTTCAGTGAATACAGTAAAAATAAGGTTAGCTTACAGCTATTCTACTATGTCAGATCTCATAAGCTTAGCAAGGTTACATTTGACCACTACATAGATCAAGGACCTCCAAGGAAAAAAGGAAACAGGAGGTTTTTTCTAGACCTATATGGTTAGGTCATGTCCTGTGCTGTCTCAGGAAACTACATCCTAAATCTTTAGAAGCCTAATATTTTCAGTTCAGTGAACTGGAGCTGCTATTTCATTACTTAAGAAATTCACTTTCTATAGTTCTCTGTACACTGCTTTCCAGCCTATTCATTTAACATATATATTTGAAAGGTTACAATCACAGAAGAAATAAAAATCTTTAGATCTTATGTGTGTGTTCAATTCTGAAATTATTTATGCAGTCCAAAATACTGAGCATGACATTTTTCACAAAGTTTTAATTTTGCTCTTTTGTATAACTGTATATTGTGATAGACATTTTTTTAAAATCAAATTACCTCAATGTAGTTACAGAGGAACATAAGAACTTAGAACTTGAAGAAATCTCTAGTCCTGCTGATTTGAGTTTCATTTGTAAATGATTGTAAATAGTCCTTCTTAAAGCATGTTATTCTGTTGGCTGGACTTTTTGCTGATTTCCAGATTACATGTATTCATAGCCAGTTTATACCTATTTGCTCTTGTGACAGATTTTCCTCTAGTTTAAGTAGGTCTTTTACCTCCTTGTTGTTTACCCTAATGATGCATTCTTGGAGAATGATCTCTCCCTTCTCACCATTTGGGTGGCTTCTTCATCCTGCCAAAATGTTGTTAGTTTCCTGTTCATAAGAAAGACTGCCCTAATCATCCTAGTCACCATTTTCCACGCTGTTTTATTTTAGATAACTCTTTGGTTAACATGAGTAAACAGTTGTCCGCATCTGGAATTCTGTGTACACCTCACTGGAGAATTGTACTTCTGTACTGGAAACACCTCTCCTAATTATATTTTAGGATTGTATTTTTATTTTTTTTACTCACACATGACATTTGTGGCTCATAGTCCTGCTATAACCATCTAATAAATCTAGGCCCTTCTCTTTAGCTTCCAACAGATGTGTTTCCTAGCTTAAAGCAGAAATTTCTATTATACACTAAGTACATGTTGTATTAATGAATTTCATTTTGTTCCTACTACACCAGTCTTTAAAGGTATCCCCAGTTGTCCTCCCACTAATACCTTCTCCCCAGCTTGATATTTCCTCTTTCAAAGTTACCCATTATTGTCTCCTCTTTACCTAGTACTTTGTCTACCCTGCAATTCTAGTGCTAATCCTCACAATATTTTCCTATGTGGCACTATGTCAAATGCTGAAGTCCAGATAGATAAAATCTATTGCATTTCCTTCGTCTAGAAAATCAATCATCTTATCAAAGCTGTGTGGTTAGTCTGGTACAGTTGACCTTTGGTAAACATGCATTGCATTTTATACCTTTTTCCTTTTACCTGCACGTGTTTAATTATACTTTACTTCAAAATTTGTTCTAAAGGCTTGCATACTATTGAGATGAGACTAAGGTATGTTTTTCCCATTTTTAAATATAGATGCTATGTTTTGTAATTCTCTGGTACTCATAACTTTAGAGATTTATTAAAAATCCTTGATACTGAGTTTAGTTTCGTATTCCAGTTCTTTCAGAATTCTAGCATGTAGATTATCTGTGGTCCCCCCCAAAGTGAATTGCACTTTTGAATTTTACTTTAACTTCAGGTGTGTTTGTCTGTTTGAAACACTCAGTAGTTTTCTTGCTTAGTCCTGAAATATCATTGCTCTTATTGAAAGCCAAGCAAGTTTTTTATTTAATTTCTGAGCCATATGTAGATTAGTTTAGATGGAATTCAAGATAAATCTGAGTTCACTCTGGTGCATATTGCTTCTCCAAACTGAATCACATTGGCATCTTCACTCATAACCAGTCCTGCACCATCTTCTGAAAAACACAGTATGAACTCAACTCACAAAACCCCTCATTGTGCATTACAATACCCATTCATGTCATAGCGGCATGGCATTTCTTGCCTTATATACAATCTCATCAAGGGTACTGAGGAAAAAGTCAGGATTGATTGATTCCATGTGCAGGCATTCTACAGTCAGCGGAGCACTGCTCAAGGTTGTTGTAATGTTTAAAGGCCATGTCTAGGGCAAAGGAGATGGTTAGGCACTTCTCCTGAAGCCGAGGCAGAGTTAGAGCTCTGCAGGACATTGTTTCCCAAGGGTCATTCCATGGTTATCTGTGCCAGGAGGTGCACATGTGCTTTGTGTAGTGCAGCACAATTGTGCAAGGCCTCGGGCCAGGTTTGATGCCAGAGGGTCTGTGAGTCTGAGTGGTCACAGTAGTGTATGAGCCCAGCATGTATAAATAGTGAAGCCTGTGCAAGGTCATGGTGCCCATCTTCCATTGCTGACTACCTGGGTTGGTGAGGTAGGTGAAACATAGTGCTAGCACCTGTTGGATAATCAGGGGTGCCCTCTATATTGTCATTCCACTGTGCACTTGCCCATGCCAAACTGGCTGATTACAGATCGGAAGTTGCCAGGGATTATGAGCTCCCAGCCAGTGACAGTAATGCACTTCTCCATGGCAAGGGGTGTCTGCAGGCTGGTGCTGTCATGTGAATGTGAATATTTCTATGAAGTTCTTCTCTCACTGCTAGTCATCCTAGGTCTTCATGATGATGTGTTCCCAGCAATTGATACTCATGCCAGTACACAGTCTGTAGGTGGTCCAGGAATTCCCCCCGTTATCATGATGTCTAGTATGGCATAGTCTTTATCAGCCAGGTAGCTTTTGGGGGATAAGAACCAGGAAGCAGAGAGCTTGAATGCTTATGGCCAAGATTTTGGTCATATCCATGTGACTGTATATTGGTGCTGTCCTCCAGGCTGGACAGGATCCAAACAAGGGCAGTGGCAGGCCTTGACTCTGCTAGCAGGTGTACAAGACACATGTGACCTGCTGCCACTGCTGGGTTGGGCGCCACACGGTGCTGCATTCCAGGCTGGGAGTGTAATTATGATAAGCCTTTGAGAGTGGAAACTGACCAGGGAATCTGTCCCTCTGCCTTCCCCCAGCTGGCAAGTCCATGGATGGGCACAGTCCCCAGGTGACTAACCAGTCAGGACTTGGCTCTGTGCTCAGCTGTCCTTGGGAGCCTCTGAAGATGGGGTAGGGAGACAGTCTCTGTCAAAGCACACTGTGCTGTCAGCAAATGGTCCCCTTGGCTGCGGAGTGCTAGCAGTACATGTTCTAGCAATATTTTTGCGGTGCTCTGGACAGCTGAGAGCTTGAACGGGTGCACATGCCTGGCATACCACATTTCTGAGTCGCTGCAAATTTCCCAGTAATCCTTAGCACTTCAAATGAATGTCCATTTATGCCCTATGACATCATTAAGGTATATCACCTTTACCTTTTTATCCATATTTCCTGAACAGTGTACAATTTGATATTTGAGTATAGTTGATCAATACGTGCATATGTACCTCTGAGGAATAAAAAAATGTTTTTATATTTGTTAATTGCAAAACCATGTTTCTCAGTAGGGTTTATAATAATTTTTTTTTTGTATATGAAGTTTTCTACTTGCCTTTAATGAGCTGGTAGCAGAACACAATTTCATCCTTAAGCAATAACCATAGGAAAGACAGTGTATGAATGCCTTTAGATCATGCTGTTAAAACCTGAAATCCTCTCATGCATTAACATTGACCTACTTTTCAAGATATCTTTTCTGGGTGAATGGTTAAATGCACATTTGGTATGTGTGTCAAATCTACAATACTCACTGTGGTTGAATAGTTCACGTTAAGGATTTCTTGCATTTTATGATGAATTACTTAAGAGTGTTGTTTTAAGGCAACATCAAGCAAATGTCTTATGTTCTAATATCACTTGTATCAATCTGCAATACCTATAGGTATTTCTTTCTTAATCAAAGAAACTGTGTTGATTGTTTGGGTTTTAGATTTATGGGGAGGTGGGCATAGTGCATGGTGCTAAATTTACCCAATATCAGTATTCTCTTGAATAATGGGCCCAAGGTACAATTCTGAGATGAGTGCGCATGACTGAGTTGCAGACATCTGGAACAATAGTTAAAAACGGCAAGGCAGGCACTTTGTTGGAATGCCCGCAGTGTCGTCCTGCCTTGTCCTTTGCCAGTTGTCTTATAGTACTGCAAAGAGATTTACAGGATTTGTGGCAATACATTTGCTATTTCTTATTAACCTTGGATAAAATTCTACTACGTATAGTTTGATTTATTTTTCCCCTCTTCCCCAGAGTAAAGATGGCAAAACACCGTTGCACATGACAGCAATTCATGGTAGATTTTCAAGATCCCAAACCATCATCCAGAATGGTAAAAAGAAAGGGTTTTTTTTTTAACGTACATGATGTTGAAATGTTAATGATATTTTCACTTTCTGAAATAGTATATTTACTTGAATATGAGACAACCCCCCACTAATTAGATTCTATATATGGAAAATTAAAAATTTGTTATAATATTCCAGGTGTAAGATCTACTTATTGAAGGTTTGCCTTGACTTTGTCCGCCTCCTACTGCTACAGCAGGGAAAATAAATCTGCGGAGGGGAGCCCCCTTGCCCTCTGCCCTCCCCAGGTTCTTCCCCACTCCCCTCACTGTCAGACCTTATTCTCCCTGAGCACCTGGAAATGAGGTGCAAATTTGAAAAAACTGAACTTTCAATGATATACCTGTAGTAATTTGCATATAAGCTAATTACTGTTGGTACCCATAGACTTAGTTCATCTAAAATTGATTCATTTTTACCTTTTTTGAAATTGCAGGAAGTTTTAGCACATGTATTCCATTGACACACTTATAAGCAGCACTTTACCTATTTATACATAGTACAAACTATGCATGATATTAGTCCAAAGCTGAAAGGCTCATGATTTATCAAATAGTTCATTGGACTGGGCCCCAGCAGAGTCAGCAGCATTTCAGGCCATGATGACCCCATAGCTCAGCACTGCTCCATATGTGTGTGTACTCCAGATACCCTCTTCTACTCCCCAAAAAGATCCATGTGCTAATTAACCCTCCCACTCATGACTGGAATGGGGTGTTCTTGTCATGAGTCCTCCAAAAATGGGGTCCTTCAAAAATGTTTATGCAGATGAGGCACAGGGCAATCTGCTTCAGTTCTACCTGATGGAGGGTTTGGTCACACTAACCATACATGACAGGCTGGGATAGGGACATCAGAGGAATTTTGGATGAACTGTTTGCGGCCCCGTTTGTTGATGTTTGTCAAAAATTTAAGGTTGGTGAAGAAACAGGAATCATTAGAAATGGGAAATAAAGGCACAGTTCAGCTGTAGGATTGAAGAGGAAGTTGAAATGTACGCAGTGTCGTAGCTCACCATGACTTAGAGTTGGCACTGATGGGACTGGGCACAATGGGCACTACCATATATCTTACTCAGGCTGCAGTAACCTATCCTTATAGTAGGTTCTCATAAGCATGTTTGCCCAATATGGGCCATGTGTTTTATAGTCATGCTCAGTGTTGGCTGCATTTAATCATGTTCATAGTTGGTTTCCATTACTGAGCATATGCAGTTTAATGATAGAGAATGTATTTAATGAGGCTTCCTTTCATGTGAATATAAGACGAGGAGCCATTTTCTCCCATGCTGATGGGGGGAACCTCATCTTAAATTTGAGTAAATATGGTGGGTTCTGAAATACTTTAGCAGATGAGGTTCTTTGACTAAAAGTGGTATCTCTTATTAGACCAACTGAATAGGTCGAAAACTTGTTCTTTGCAAGCTTTTGGGCACAAATACCCCTCTTCAGGCCTAGGGGGAGTCTGATGCTGTTTTGTGGTCTCCTGGATGGAATAGAAGCCAATATGCCAAATGCAGGCCTGTGAAAATCTAAATGTTTGGCTGTGCGGATCAGAGGCCATGGGGGACAATAGATAGAAGATTTGGGGTGGGGAGGGTTGGGGAATATTGACCTGGTGGTAGAATAGCTGGTAAAATATAGAGAGGTTACCTGGGGTTATTGGATGGCAAGCTGGGTTATAATGTGCCATAAATCCAATGTCTATATTTAGTCCATGATTTTTTGTATCCAGTAGATTTATGAAGTTGTTTGTAGGCTCATCTGTGAAAGGTGTTTTGTAAATTCCCTTTGAGGATTAGAACTGAGAGATTGGAGAGAGTGGTTGTCTTGTAAGAAGTGTGCACCCACAGGTAATTGGGTATTTTTGTCCTTGATAGACTTTAGGTGTGCATTCATTCTGGTGTGCAGTTGTTTGGTTTTTCCTACATATTTTCCATCATTTAGCACTGATGGAAAATCTCTCTCTCCAGTCTCACAGTTCTAATCCTCAAAGGGAATTTACAAAACACCTTTGTTAGATGAGTCTATGAACTTTGCTTCATAAATCTACTGGTTACAAAAAATCATGGGCTAAATATAGACATTGGATTTATGGCACATTATAACCTGCCTGCCATCTCATTACCCCAGGTAACCTCTGTACATTTTACCAGCTACATTCTGTCACCAAGTCAACATTGCCCCCTTTTCCCACACCTACCTGTCTCTCACCTATTGTCTCCCATGGCCTCTGATCCTCACTGCCACACATTTTACATTTTCACAGACCTGCATTTTTGTATACAGGCAGTCCTCGACTTACAGTTGTTTCGAGTTGCAATGTTTCATGCTTACAGCATTTATAAATTGACACCATTTCAACTTTCTGACATCAGTTTCGACTTTACAATGCTTGATCTGACATGGCACCACACCAGCAAACAAGTTTGCTGCATTGCCCATCTCCCTGGAGAACACCTGTCCAAACTTCCTTGGACACTTTCTTTAAGAAAGCAGACAAGACTCCAGAAAAACCTGCAGCCAAGACTCCTGAGAAGACTCCAGCCAAGAACCCTTCAAAAAGTCCAACCAAGAGCCCTTCAAAATGTCCAGCAGTTACCTCAAAGAAGTCCTTCTAAATCCATACGATTTCTGTTTGCAATATAAATACATTAATGTAGCTATATTACTCATGTATAATTGATTGAGTACAAAATTCTGGGTTATTTTTGGTGTAGGATATTGGGCCTTGGTTCTAGAACCAATCCCCCATTTATAACATTGTTTCCTATGGAAAATCGGTTCTGAGTTACAACGTTTCAACTTAAGACGCAGGTTTCAGGAACCAATTGTGTCGTCAGTCCAAAGACTGCCTGTATTGGTTTCTGTTCCATCTAGGAAAACACAAAACACCAGCAGACTCTCCCTGTGCCTGAAGAAGGGTGTTTGTGCCCAACAGCTTGCAAAGAACAATGTTTCCAACTAATTAGTTGGTCTAATAAAAGATATCACTTTTACCTAAAGAACATTATCTGCCTATGTCCTTACACCAACATGGCTACAATCAACACTTCTGAAATACTTTGGCATTTTATGGCCAAAGTTTCAGTTTTTATAGTCTGATTATATGCTTATAGACTGAACCCAGCTACATCTTGTTTTTTCTAGATGAAAAAACATGGGTTTTCTATAGGGTTGGATCATTGAAACTGTTTCCCTGTAAAGTTATGTGGCAAGAGATTTACCGTTACTTCATTAGCTCTTAACATTCAATATCACTTAAATATTTTAAATATTGACACTAAAATAATCACATGCTGACATGTTACTATCACTTTATTTTGAACCCCATTTTGATAACAAACCTGTATGTATGTGTGTGCATGTGTATTCACATTAATTATTCATTTTATAGGAGCTGAAATAGACTGTGAAGATAAGAATGGAAATACTCCATTGCACATAGCAGCTAGATATGGCCATGAACTACTAATCAACACTCTGATTACGAGTGGTGCTGACACTGCAAAGTAGGTAACATTTACTGACTTGGGCACAAGCTAAAATAGTTTAGAAATGTACCAGTTGGATAAACTATAGCAATATATTATTTTTTCATATTTTGCAAACTTCAAGTTAGAAACCCTGTAACATAGAGTATGGACAAACATGATTTATTTTAGTTCCCTTAAAACGAAAGAGTAGCTGCTTTTTAGGAATGTGCAGCAGCTGTCACACTATTACATCTGCTTCATTATGTAGTTATAACAGTTGGTTAAATCACCTTAACTTTGACCCCAAATGAAGAAGGATTGGAGCAATTTTGCTGCCCTTGTGTTGCTATAGAATCATGCAGACCTAAGTCTTGTGTCCTGAGGGCTTGAATCTATATTCTTTAATAGGCTTGTTATTTTGGGGATGGGCAAAATGGCAGATTTGCCTGGCAGCCAGACTCCATTTCCTAGCAGCCACTGCCTGTATTGCTGCAGCCAGTTTCCATGGAGGCCCCAGGAGGTGGGGCCATGACAGCGCAGGGCCACATTTTCCATGGAGACTGGCCCAAACAGCACTGGCAGGGTGCGGCTGGGCAGGGAGCTGTTTTCAGACCCAGGCAAGGATTTTTTGGTGGTGACAGCATGGTCCAGAGCTGGGGGACAGCCGCGATCCGCTGCCTGCACTCCCCTACCCAGGGCTTGTGGTCAGCAGATCACAGCTTTGACACATCTCCAGCTTGTGCTATCACCACTGCAAAATGCTGGCCCTGGCCTCAGCCCCAGAGCAGCTCCCCACACAACTGCACACCCTGCCAGTGCTACTTGGGCCAGTCTCCATGGAAAACCTGGCCCCACACTGTCATGGCCCTACTGCTTCTGGAAACCAGCTGCAGCAACGTGGGCAGGGGCTGCTGGGAAATAGAGTCCACCGCAGGCCTCATCTGGCCCGCGGGTCAGACTTTGCCCACCCCTGGTCTGTACCTGTGGTCTTTCCATGGACTTTCCTGATAGAGCATCTTATTAAATAGGCACACTGGATTTTACACTTGCTAATTTTGATTATTTGTAAAATATATGTTTGAGAGATGCAAAACAAAATCTCATCATTTTTATTTAAATGTCACTCTAAATCAGGGGTGGGTAAAATGAGGCCCGGGGGCCAGATGCGGCCTGCCAGGCCATTCTATCCTGCCCGCAGGGCCCCTAAAAAATTTAGAAAATTTAATATTTATCTGCCCCTTGGCTGCCTGTCGTGCAGCCCCTGATGATTTACCAAAACCCAGTAAGCAGCCCTCCGCCCGAAATAATTGCCCGCTCCTGCTCTATATGTATGTTTTAGGTTTTGATTAGATAATTTTTTTTAACATACTAAGAGATTTCCCAGATCTGTCCATTCTAATTATGTGTAGTTTGGCATGCAGTCTTGTTTAGCTTTATTGTTATGGAACTGCGATGTCTGATTATGGTGTATCTTAGGCGGGGTATACATGGGATGTTTCCTCTCCATTTGGCAGCTTTAAGTGGATTTTCAGACTGCTGCAGAAAACTCCTTTCATCAGGTAGGATGATCTCTTTAAAATGTTTTGGTTACTTTATACATAATTAGTGATCCTTAGTGCTTTCAGTGTGGAATTAATATTAATGTCTTATTGCAAAGTATATAGAAATGAATAATTAGTTGACTTATAACTGAGGATCTGTACTAGATTCTTTGAATTACTAACCATAGTTAAAGTTGGCACTAGCTTTCTGTGGTAAGCCCCAATTGCAATCTTTTAGAATTGTACCAGGAGTGAAGCAGTGGGCATGAAAGCCCACAAATTTGATTTGCACAGTCTATAATGATTCAAAATATAACGTGATTTCAGGGAGTGAGGGAGCAAGACTCTAACATCTGCAAAACATAGTTACCCCCAGCCATCATGGCAGTCTAGTGCAATTTGGCTTACGCCAGTGATACCCAAACCTGTGGCCCCCACGGCTCTAAATTGTGGATAGCTTCATTAAGAATATAATTAGTTTTGAATTGGATCAAGACCAAAAATAACTTTGGCTATTGCATTGTCTCCACTTGGGCCCAGGTCAATGTTAGCAAAGAATAGCTAAGTAGGGAATCTCTGGAGGAGGGAAAAAGGTTGAGAAATAGATGAGAAATGGCCACCATATAGATTTCCTGATTCTCTTCCCCAGCCCCAGCACAAAGTAGAACAGCTTGCTGGAACGTGCACCAGGTAACAGCTGTCCTTTAGGGACTATATTCTAGCTAGGAACAGGAAGAATACAGCCATTTTGCTTTTCTGTCCTCAACAGCCCCCTCTACTCAAGGTGCTACATCAGATGTATGCATACTTCAGACTTCCATAGGTCTAAGGGATTTTCAACAGAGGACTTGCAGGTGATTTTTTTTCCTTATGTGAATTGGGCAGAGGGGCATAGTCCAGGTGAATCATCTTCCCTGAAGAAACAGCATTGATCACTTTTTAAATATACTCAATTCTCAAACTGAACAGGTTGAATACTGCTATCCTAGAAATGCTTTTTTAGTATATGGAAGTTAATATTGATACATATCTTTACTCAAAGTAACTTCTCTTTTGTGGAGGAGAAATTGATTTGCATGTATATTCAGAATCTTGAGAGATACTTAATTTGTCACCACTCTTCACAGACTTAGTGAAGTCAGTTTTGCCGCTGTGATGGATAGTCCTTAGGGAGGTACTGATGTCAGGCAATTTAGTAATCTATGGATAAACAGAATGGAGAATTATATCTGTTGGAAGTGAGGGAAAGCACCAGAATGGGGCAGTGGAGAAGCAGCCCATTTTAATATTGATAATATCACTTAAGTTGGACTTGGGATGCAGGAAGTGAGGTAGCATTGGGTGAGGAAGTAGCCTGAGGGAAAATGGAATTCATTCATTTGCAGATCACTAGTTTTGGTCACTGACTCCTTAAAGTTTAAAAAATATGAATTCCCAGGCAAAAACAAAACTGGAGTTCTGGTCATAAGCATCTGTTACTCAGGAATAAAACTCTTAAAAGAATATTGTAGTTTTCTCAAACCATAAATGTAGCTTGAACACTTGGTTGTTTCTTACTATTATTATTATAACCTCAATTTTAAACTAAGTATGGAATTGCACTGTTAAAGTCACTTAGATAACTTGTAATCCTCATAGTCTTTACCAAAGTTCCACCCTGCATGCCTGTGCACTTTGTGTAAAACAGATACATTTTGGTGAAAGGAGGATATTTCAAAGTTCATTTATGAGAATATATGAATTGCCATCCTGGATTTGACCAGTGGCTCATCAAATTTAGCATCCTTTCCAGGTGTAGGCAGCCACTAAGTATTTAGGGGGAATATGTGAGAAACTTCTTCATTGAACATTTAAAGAATAATCTGCTCTTAAAGGAAGTTTCTTTCTAACCTCTATTAGAGGCTGGCTTGTGCCCTGAAACAGGAATTTGAATATCTTAAAAAATGCCATATAATGCGATTTAATTTTCTTGTTATTTTTAATGCTTAATCCTTTTTTGAGCCTTATAAGAAAGACCTGAGCCTTCATGGTACCTGTGACAATGAATGCTACAGTTTCATTTTGTGATTTGTTTACAAAAGCGTTTCCTTTTGCCAGTTGTACATTTCGTTGACTTAGACTAAAATTTCAGGTTAGATCTTAAGTTTTTTCTCTTGCATGAAGATGGGACTTAGGGCAAAGGCATGGCTTTCTGCAGGGGAAGATTTACTTCCTTCATTTTCATAGAGCATTGTATAAATCTCAGTTCATCATTTTAAATTAGAGCAGTTCTTGAGCTAGCTCATCTAACTTATGATAGTTGAGTGTATCTTATCTCAATTCTCAGCTGCAGTCAGTCAGACAAGCTCTGTCAGTGTGTGTGGAAGCGGTTAACATAGGAGTTGATTCTGTCACCACTCTAGATAAGAGCTCCTGTAGGAAGAATCCAAAACTTTGTTTTCTACGAAGTTGTGATACATGAGCACTATTTTTCTTTTACATGCTCTGTTGTGCCCCTCTTAATAACATTCAAGAATTATCTTGGCAAATCTCCAGTTATCCCTCAATCTACAAGCTTTGAATAATTTAGAAATTGGTACGATTGTGGCTGGAGCACATGCATATGGTTAGCAGGGGAGTAATACCTTAATATGTAAAATTGTGACTACGTGAAGTGGGTGTGTGGATTATCTTACCTGAACATCCTGAGTGTGGTATATTTTAGCAAAGAGACATGTTTGTGTCCACTGACTGTGTAGAGACTTAAAATAAAAATATCTGCTGTAGTGAGAAAATCAACATGAGCAAAGCAAGACACTTAGATCATGGGTCAATTTTCATTGTCACTATGGTGTATGGTTTTGAAGAGTTGTACAGTCCCTTGCATTTAGGAGCAAACTTAAGGCTGCTTTGGTGATCGTAACTGTGCATCTCCATACATTCCAATATTTGGATTTAAGTAAGATCTTAAATTTGAATTTCCAGGGTTCTTACAACATTTTTGAGAAAACTACACCATTCTCTAAAGGGTATTTTTCCCCTTAAGTAACTGGTATTTACAACCTTCACTCCAGCTTAATGAAGTTCTTTGCCTGGGAATAGAAACCTAAACTGAAGGATGAAATAATGCGAGTAGCTTCTGGATTTAGTAATGCTGACATCACTCTTAAAATGATTGCTATACAGAGCACTGTATATTAAGGTGAGTAGTACTAGCTTATTCTTAAATGTTGCTATTACACATTTTTTGCAAATTTTGTTTGGCAATATTTTTAAACAAAACCAGTAAGCAAAGATTATTCCATCAAGAACTTCTAGCCCTAATGCTAGTTAACTTACATTTTCATTGTCATTCCTCTTATATGCAGTCAAAATTAACATGGTTCCTGAAATACAAAATGCTGCTATTTGCTGTATTACAGATAGTAAATGGTTTTTTAAAAATATTTTGACATTAACTGTTCTAACAAATATAAACATGCATTATGGCATTATAACTTAGAAACTGCTGATAGCAATTTGGTGAAAGAGATGAATACTGTTTAGTGACACCATATATTAACTCTTTTTGTAGGCTTTGATATAGATACCCCAGATGACTTTGGCAGGACTTGTCTTCATGCAGCTGCAGCTGGCGGGTATGTAGCAGCATTGCTTTCAATTTTACTTTTCAAAATTACTTATCTTCCCAGTCTTTTCTCTCATCTTTTTACCTCTTGGAGGTAGGTAAATATGAATATAGTTTAAGAACACAATAAATTTGTGAAATGCAATTTCTACTTGGTAATTTAATCAATAATTGAATTAGTGGCCAAGCATAATCATTCTTGTACCCCTTTCAGATCTGGGATTAACATGGATTTATTATACAGCAGGTTTGCTAACTTCTAGAAGTTACAGGCAGAACCATCCCTTGTGGGGGTGTGAATCAGGGTGACTGCCCCACACTCTGGGCACTCACCGACCTCCCCACCCCCACACTGCACAGGCCCCGCACAGCTTGATACGCCCCGGGCCCTGCATGCCCCTAGGGTCAGCTCTGTATACAGGTCTAAATTGTGATATTTGCTATAGCCCTCTGTTTAGGCTATGCAGAGATCCATATGGAAAGGAGCGTCACAGACTGTGTTGAGCCATGGAGCCATCTATTTTCTTGTCTTCCCAACAAGTTGCTTATGAGGAGAATACTTTGTCATTTCAGGTAGTCCTGAAATAAGATGAGCAAAACTGAAAGAAGGCTTCTTAACCCCCTTTTTCTCAGCACAGCTGTATGTGGGCTTACCACAATCTGCATGTATAATATGGAGCTGGTTTTCACGTTTATAAACGTTTAGGCTGCTTGGAGTTGTTGGTTGGACCCAGCTTGCCCAACATCTGTATAGATCAGGTGCTTTAGTGAGGCTTTTTTGGTGCTTTTATCTAATAGCTGATTGAATCAAAAAGCCCCACTGAAGCACCTGATCTATATAGATGCTGCAGAGCTGAGTCAAAGTAGCACATGCTTCTTTCAGTAAGGTGCTTTTTTTTTTAAATATCTGCAAGCAGCCTTACTTATTTAGACAAGGTGCTTTCCAGAAAAGAAGAATGTGTTGGATATTTTTATCAGTATGTGAAGGAAATAAAGGAAAATGTGAATGAAAACATAGAAGAACTGGATAAACCCATCAGTTAACCCAAAATGTTCATACTATGTGTTTTTATATATATATATATATATATATATATAGTAAATATACTATTTA